TAGGTTGGAGGCCATCGCTCTTAGGTTGGAGGCCATCGCTCTTAGGTTGGAGGCCATCGCTCTTAGGTTGGAGGGCATCGCTCTTAGGTTGGAGGCCATCGCTCTTAGGTTGGAGGCCATAGCTCGTAGGTTGGAGGCCATCGCTCTTAGGTTGGATGCCATAGCTCTTAGGTTGGAAGCCATCGCTCTTAGGTTGGAGGCCATCGCTCTTAGGTTGGAGGCCATAGCTCTTATTGGATGCCATAGCTCTTAGGATGGAAGCCATCGCTCTTAGGTTGGAGGCCATCGCTCTTAGGTTGGAGGCCATAGCTCTTAGGTTGGAGGCCATCGCTCTTAGGTTGGAGGCCGTCGCTTTTAGGTTCCTTAAACCCATCGCTATTAGGTTCCTTAAAGTCTGTTGTTAAAGTCGATATTGTGCATTATATATACGGTTTGAGTATCCTGAGGGTTGGACTTGCCATCTCCAAAGGAAGGCGCAAGGCGGCTGCCTCTTCAGTCAAGCAGGACGAAAGGGTGTAGTCTGACACCTGTGGGGCAGAAGTCATGGCGGCACCATCCAGCTTGGATCCAATGTTGAATGAATTGAAGGTCAAGAGTCTTGAAATATGGCTTTGGCCAACTCAACAAGAGTCAATCAATCTGCATGTGTGTTTGGAGTCCTTCTGGGACGTTCTAAACTTTAGCCAGCACATTTGGACTCCAAAGTCCCCCAGCCGCGCCTTCTCACCTCTTGATTCTGCAGAATGGGTTGCCAACTTCTTGATCTCCTCACCCAGCTCCTCACAGCGCAACATGAATCAATCGACATGTGATGAAATATCAGAGAGAACTCCAATTTTCAGCAACATCTAGCGGCAAGAAGCTACTAGTATCAAGTGCATCGCTACTAGTTACTAGTAACAAGTAACAAGCGCATTACCACTAGATTGGAGGCCATCGCTCTCAGTTGCCACTGCTATTAGGTTGGAGGCCATCGCTACTAGTAACAAGGGCATTGCTACTACATTCGTAGCTCCTGAGCTACGAATGTAGCACGTTGCCTTGAACCACAGCCGAGACGCCCCAGTGCTCAAAGCAACATGGATCTCAGCAGCCTTGAACCGAAGGGCTGCCGAGGATGGCACTGTCGGAGCTTCCGGATTGGCCACCTGCGACAGACAGCTCTGTGTCAGGTGGGAGTGGGACTCCCATCAAACTCCCAGTGTTGGCCTACATCGTACTACTAGCGCCCTTGCTCCGTTCGTAGCGTCCGATCGCTCCTAGTAGTAAGGCCAGGAGCCCCTACTTACATCCTACAACAATGGGCCTCTAATCCTCGCAATGGCCCACCATTGCTTTTGCTCCTTCGTCACGGTCGGGACGTCCGATCTCCTTCGTCCTCCGGCCTGGGGGAGCGAGACCACCGCCAAGACCGAGAAAATGTGGCCAGCAGCAATGGCTAAAAGGCACGTGTCGAAAACCACCTCAGCCGAGTGAGCTGAGACAGCTGAGAAGACTTGGCAACACGGGCTTGACAGGGGCATCGCTACTAGTAACAAGGTGCCGTATACCACTAGGAACAAGAAGCTGAGTTGGGAGTGAAGGCTTTGTCACCGTCCACGGCTTCAAGGCACAGCTGTTGGGTCAACACGGCTGTTGGGTCTTTTGCTTCTGCCGACTGAATCCACCAGGGGCTATGCCCATGCCGAAATGAACCAGAGCAGTGGCGAATGTCACCTCTGGGGTTGATGTCGTTTTCATAACTGTGTATGGAAGGTTCAGGTGGACATAGGGGCTGCCAGCTGACCACCCTCCCTCCCACCCACCTCAAAATAACAAAGTTATTATTTTTAGGTGGGTGTACCCACCTGAGCATAGAATTATTGTGGAGGTAATATAGTTCAGAAATAATAAACCACACAGCATGATAAGATAGGGGGGGTGGTATAGACCACCCACCTAAGTGGGTAGATATATGGGGACAGCTCCTAGGAAAGTGTGCAGTAACAGCAATCGTAGGTGGTTCAAGCGCAACCACCTACAAAATAATAATCGCGCCCTCTTTTCTGCCATTCTCTCTCGGTTTCTCTGTGGTACCGTGAACGTCTGTCCAGTCTTTTTGCCTTGATGGGGCAGCCGATCCGGGAGAATATATGGAAAATATTGAGGACAAGCAAGATCTCTGTCCAAGGCAGGTCAAACAATCGCCGTATTTCAGGGGTGGGGCTGGCCTAAGGGACCTCTGAAATAATTAGTAGATCGACTGATTGACTGGAATGTGTGGATAGCGTGATATGGTCCATAAAATTATTTCATGGGTGGGGTACCCCCTAAACGACCTGTTAAATAATAAATAAGGTGGGGGGAATGTTGCCAGTATTTGCCACTTATTCCATGGAAAATATTATATGGAAAAGGTTGAAAACATTGAGGAGTTTAGTAGAAGGAACCAGTAAGGGGGGCAAGGCTTACCCCACAGACATCATTAGTAATATTCAAGTAACTATTTATTTTGGGGGTAGATGACAGGTAGCCCACCTGCCAAATAATATTATGTTTGTGCTCGAATGGATGGATCCCAAATAAAGGTAGCCCCCTGATAGGATGGATCCCAGCGAGAATTTGATGAGAGTGTGAAGCCGGCTGCTTTGGCTACCAGAGTTTTGGATCAGGTGTGCCTTGGCTAGTTCAAACTGATTGCAGCGCGACAAACGATGACTTGGTGGCAAAGCATAGCTGATTGATGTGGGAGTCAGACGTTCACGGTCTGACAGAGAAACCGAGAGAGAATGGCAGAAAAAAGGGCGCGATTATTTTTTGTAGGCGGTTGCGCTTGCACCACCTACGTTTGCTGTTACTGAACACTTTCCTAGGAGCTGTCCCCATATATCTGCCCACTTAGGTGGGTGGTCTATACCACCTCCCCCCCCTATCTTATCATGCTGTGTGGTATATATTTTATATCTTGATTGTCTCAGCTCTGTGGACAAGCACATCAAATTATTTTTGCTCTGGCACACGTACCCCTCCACCTGCCAAATAATTTCCAATAAACCCTGCATCATACCTTCTTCCACGGGTTATTGTTATTCTATGTCATTCAGTGCTAAAAATAATTTGGAAACCATATATCAAAATAATATTTTCTTATTTTGCAACATGCCATACCATATTTTTTCTACATGGTAGATATTATTTTGACCCACCACCTACATGCCTTTCCAAATAATACTTTATTGATATTATTTCAAAAAAAATATTTGGAGACGAGACGGTCACCTCAAAATAATTTCGCTCGGCAGGGGCTATAGGTGGACATCCACGTTAAAGCTCCGAGCGACTGCATGCGTTGTTCTTCCAGTTGCAGGTCCGTCTTCGTGGACTGCTGTCTCCATGAACTGCTGGAGTGCCACGGCTAAGGAGCATAGCTGGGTTCTTAGCTGAGCACTTTGGTACAGTAAACAAAAACACGAACTTGTGTGCCAACCTTTCAGTGAAAGGACTTCATCTGTTTGAGCATATTGGCCGGTTCTAGCATGTGAGGTCATCGAATAGTGCTAAAATGTGCCAAAGTCCTTCTCAGGGTTTCAAGTGCAACCACGGCACACGGGCAACTCACGTTCGGCATCACAGGCTCCTTTTAAAAAAAACCGATGGCCTCCAACCCAAAAGCAATGGCCTCCAACCTACTAGCGATGGCCTCCAACCTACTAGCGATGGCTTCCAACCTTTAATAGCGATGGCTTCCAACCTTTAATAGCGATGGCCTCCAACCTAATAG